GGGGACGCGTGCCAGCTGACTGTAGCCAGCTTCCCCCGGCCTCCGGCGTCTACCGGGAGCCTCCCGGACCATCGACCTCGGGAGCTCTCCCGCAGCGTTTAAGCGTTTAAGACCGTTTAAGGAATCGGCGACCCAGCAGCTCTTAAAACCGGCCTAGGCCGGTTTTAAGCCGTTTAAGCCGCAGGCGCCCCAGGGCCCACCCTTTTAAGCCTAGGGGTACCCTAAGGCCGACCATCACCACCGACCGACGGCTCGCACGGCCGTGCGGTGAGCAAAAAATTGGGTCGCTGCGCGCCCTGCCGGATGCTCTGCGACGTCTGGACGCTCGCCAGAACGACGCCAGGAAGCTTGCCTTGTTCCACCCCTGGGCCCGAGGGCGATGCCGGCGCTGGGGTCCCCTTCGGGTGCATCGTGACGGCTGACAACGGGATTTCCACTGGTTCGTCCTCCTCGGAGTCGTCTTCCCCCGCTTCCTTCCGCTCGGCTCTACGTTCGGTACGTTCGGCGTGGCCAGTGTTGTTGATTGATTGATGGGAAGGCGAAACACAGTCCGACCAACGACTGGGACACCAACGCGGTATGGGTGGACGCTAGACAGGCGATGACGGTCACACAGGAGCGACACACAGAACCACACTCAGCCAACAGGGCGGCTGCCACACATCCTGAGCGAACTTCCCTAGTCACCCGCGCGGCCGGACTCCATCCGGCACGCGTCGCTGGGCGCTCAGATCAGACGTAGGGCGCGCGCCACTGCGCTCGCGTAACCGAGGCCCCCGTAACCGAGGCCCCTCCACCCTCACTACTCGCTGCCTATTCGCTGCCTCGAGGGAGGAGGGGAAGACGTCGGGTTGAGCTGGACTCGCCTGCACGGAGGCCCCTCCCCGAAAGGCAAGTCTTAGCCACATGAAATCCGAGACCCCTCCCCACCACCCCAATCCCCCCACCCCCTTGCTCCCCTTCCCCCCTCGTGAGGGGCCAACTGAGGCTGCCCGAGGGGAGCCGGTGATTCCCTTCTTCCCTCGGAGGGGGCCCGGTCGGAGGCGTACCCTCAAGGGCCCCAATCTTTCTTTCCCTCGCATAGGCGCGCCCTTTACGCTCCCCGCTTCAGCCAACTCGCGGATTCTCCCGGGTGCCTTACCCGGGCGTGAGAAACTATTGTCTGTGCTTGGCTCCCTTTTTGGCCCCCCGATTGGGGAGTAACGGGGGCCGAGACCCCCTCTCACCC